TTTTTTTGAGATGGAGTCTCGCTCTATTGCCCAGGCTGGAGTGCGGTGGCACGATATCGGCTCACTGCAAGCTCCACCTTCCGGGTTCACACCATTCTCCTGCCTCAGCCTCCCAAGAAGCTGGGACTACAGGTACCTGCCACCACACCCGGCTACTTTTTTGTATTTTTAGTAGAGACAGGATTTCACTGTGTTAGCCAGGATGGTCTCGATCTCCTGACCTTGTGATCCGCCCGCCTTGGCCTCCCAAAGTGCTGGGATTACAGGTGTGAGCCACCACGCCCGGCCCACTCTTTTTTTTTTCCATAGCACATACAACTGCTAACATACTAGATAATTTTCTTGCTTATCATCCTTATAATCCATTATCTGTCTTCCCCTGCTATAAGGCAAGCCCCATGAGGGCAGGAACCTTTAGTCTGTTTTATTTGCTGACATATCCCTATACTAGAACAATTCCTGGCATGTGGCGAGCGCTCAGTAAACACTTGTAAAATGAATGAATGGATGGAATCTGGTATAAGAGAAAGAACCAGAAAGCTGTAGCAGGGGCTTTAGCTCACTGCATCCCCATTCTCTAGATGTAGAGCCAGAGGCCCAGAGAAGTGAAGCCACCTGCCTCAGTTCACACAGCTGGGAAGGACGGGAGCCAGGATCATGGCCAAGTTCACCCATCTCCAAAGCCTGAACTCTCAACCCAATTTGATGAAACTATGGTCTCTCTGGAAGCAGAAAACATTTCCAAGTCCGCTTGCTTTTCCTAAACTGTCACATTCCTGGCCTCCCCCAGCCCCCACATCTCTTCTTTTGGGTGGCATACCGATAGATTTTTGCCGGAGCATCAGCCCAGGTCCTGGAGGCAGGAAAGAAGGACGCTCGTAACTTGGCTGGGCACGGTGGTGGGGATCGAAGCTCGACTTTGGGGTGGCAGTCAGAGGGGGAGAGAGAGAAAAGATAGCAGAGAGAGATCAGTGAGCGCAGAGAGGCTTGCGGCTTCACCACACGGCTGCCCCCTATTCCTTCCCTAAGCCCCTGCAGGAAGGGAGAGCAGTGTGAAGATGGTGGAAGGAGGCTGGGCGACGTGGCTCACCCCTGTAATCCCAGCACTTTGGGAGGCTGAGGCAGGACCATCACCTGAGGTCAGGAGTTCAAGACCCAGCCTGGCCAACATGGTAAAACCTCGTCTCTACTCAAAATACAAAAATTAGCCAGGCATGGTGGTGGGCGCCTGTAATCCCAGCTACT